AAAAATGTTAGTCTTGTCATACAGAAGAGGGATGCGAATCTTAAAAATCAGTTTCCCAATAAATACCATTGTCTGTATTTAAAAAAAAAAAAAAAATTGCCTATAGCTTTAGGGCTTATTGCTGAAAAAGATGACAAAACACAGTGAGTTAACAGCGCTGGAAGCTGTTAATAACTAAAACAGCCACCGAAAAACAAATGATACTTAGTCTGCTATAAAACTTTGTATTATGAAACTTCAGTAACAGTTGAACTCCCACAGAAAAAAAGATAAAAAGCCTGTGGAAGAAAATATAATATTTGGAGGAAAAGTCTATTAATCTTATTATATTTTGTAAATTATTGTACAGTTTCTTTTTGGAAAAAGATGTAATATTGTCTTCATTTTTTAATAATTTATTTTATACATATTGTGCAAATGTAAATAGTCTTGTAATTAATGTTCAAACCTGTATAAAATAGATATTTTAATTGTAAACCTGTTTTTGTCTGATGTTTTATTGGACCAAAGTTGTAGTTTTTATTAAGTGTAGTGTGTTCCTGGTCGGCAGTTCTTTTTAACAAGGCATGTGTTTGATTTAGCTGCTTGTTTCATCACCATAACTGTAAAAGAACTGAAACAGAACTGTATTGCATGCTTCATAGAACTCTTAACTCCTTTACTTCAATAACTGATACCTAAACAATTGTAAGATTTACAAGACCATATTTCATATTAGTCTGTAATGCCATGCCTATGACTTACTATACTAAAAATATTTTTGTGTAAAACATGGGGGGGAGAGGGGGAAGCTCTTATATGGTGGTCTCGTAATAGAGCCTATTTTTTCCAACAAAAATGCCTTTGAATGAAAATTCTTAAATTGTATATTGTCTATTTTAATATTAATCTATGGAAAGATATGTAAATAGTTGTAAATATAATGTTTAATAAATTTTATTGGTCATGTTAGTTGGGATTTCTTAAAATTTGATGTATCAAATGTTACAATATTATCGTTCCTGTTATAGGGAATATGTAAGGAGGCTCAGCTGAAAACAAAAAATTCCTGTGTTACAAAAGTTAACACTTTTTAATCCTTAGTGCTGTTAATGAGCTGGCAGTTAATTATTTATTAGTGGAAGGTTCTAGATATTCATGAAAAGATTTGTTACCGTCTAGGCCATAAAATATTCAAGAATGCTTGGGATCTGATGTCACTGAAATTACATCTGAAAGAAATGGGGCTTATGCAAGAGAGCTGGTTATCTGGAAAAGAGATTTATAGTACTCAGTTTGAACTGATTTTTAAGTATTTGATGAACTACTACGGAACACTGTTCCTTAGGCTTGTATGGACGCCCAGTGTACCTTCATTGTGATGGGAAGCAAACAAGCACTGAGCAAGAGACTCTATGGACAGTGTTACTGTTTCCCATGTGCGCATCACTGGTAGTTCTAGTCAAGAATAAAGTAATAGCAACTCAAACACAGTGAAGCTGGAAAAAGCATCAATTAGTATGTAAGTTCTGCCCTGTGCAACCTTTTTTTTCCCCCCCCTCACTTTTAATTTGTTAGTACTGGAAGAAGGAGACGTTGTTCCTGCTTTTATAAAGGACTGTCTTACTGACATCGTTCAGAGTTGAAAATGTATTGAAGAGCATACAAATTTAATATTCTTCTGAAGGGAGCAGTAAAATTTGAAAATAATACAGATAGCTGTATTTGGAGAAATACTTTAAAAGACAAGAAAAAAATGGATAGAGCTGCCAAGATGTTTTAAAAAGTAGTAAATGGACACAACTTCACTGCCTCCAAATACTTGTAATAAAAATAATAAAAAGTAAACATGCATTTCTGGCAGGGAAGAACCTCATATAGACTTTTTGAAGTGTGGGACATGAATAATTATAAAATGAAATGCTTTATTTAAAAAAAAAAAAAAAAGGTTGCAGGAGTACCAGTTGTGCTAGACAGGGGGTGGAGGAGGTGACGGCAAAAAAATTTGGGCTAGAGGAGATAATTAGATCTATAGGTGGAACTTGGGGGTAGAAGTAGTAATTATGCAGTGGTACGCAGATGTAAAAGTGCTCACAAAGAGCAAGGATGTAGAAACCTACTGGAGCAACAACAGTAATAAGGAAAAGCAGTAGGATAGCGCTCTGCTCCCACCGATGTCCCTGGACCGTTCAGTGGGCAGGGGGGCTTCAAGCACGTTTACTACAAACCAAGAATGTTAATGCTCTAGAGGTGTTGGCAGAAACATTTCTTGTTGAAACTAAAAAGATGTAAATTTAAAAATATTTTAGCACTGTCCTATCTTTAACTAAGGACAGATGTTTCTTAGGTTTAGCCTGTGTTTTCTGTATAAGGAGAGAAAACTTCTTCACAGTCTGTGATGCAACAGATAATTTTTTTTTCCAACTGAGACTGATTAGTGAAAACTCTGTTGCCCAAAGAAAGGGAACTATCCTCAAGCGCTTCAGTCTGTTTAAACCATGATCTCTGGGCTGAACCCAGGTTTTGTTCCACTAATGTACTTTCCTCATGTTTACTCTGTGGGATGATACTGGATCCATGTGTTTTTCCTTCAACAGTGGTGCAAGGGCAGAGGGAGGATGAGGCGGAATAGGCTTAGACTGATTACTTGCTGGGGAGAAGGCCTTATTTCTGCTATCTTCTGGGAAACTGCTTATACCCCTGGGCTCCTGGGTTCTTCTGCTAGGGATCAGACTTGTTACCTTGGTCCCTTTGCGCTTGGCATGCAGGAAGATAAACCACCAACACAAGAAGATTTCGGGGAGAGAGCTCGTCCCAAATCTCGGCATCCTTTTCCTCCTTTTATAGAAACCTGGAGAAAAATTACAGTAGTGCTTCGCACGCAGCCTCAGTCGGGTTCCAGCCGTGGCTTCTTCGCCTTTTGGGTTTCTCCCCCCGACCCTCCCGCGGTTAACCACCTGCCTGCCAGCCCCTGTGCGGATCCTGCTCGACGGCTGCTCCCCCCC